TTCTTTGCATGGGTCAACCAACACCTTCTCTAGCGAGCTTGTCTTTTTTGAGAAGCTCATCTTCTTTATGAAAACCCTGTTCCTAATCAATTACATATTCCACCAATCAAGATTTATATCGGTAAACAATATGAGTCAATAACAAATATACAGTTGTAAGTTGTACCAGTACTGCATTTAATATTGATACAACCACGCACCCAATTATCAATATGCTTAACCCCTTTTTCTCGAAATTCTAATGGGAATTGACATCAATACCTCTCAATGTAATCTTGCAGCTTGGACGGTTCTCAGTGTATGCAGGGTGTTTAGTTTACTATCTGAGGGGGGGGGGGGGGGGGGGTGGTATTTGGGGAAAGAAAGTGGAACAAGTGAAGGTTGTTTATAAACAAACAACCGAAGAATATGAAGTGGTAGGGAAGGCATGGAGGATGTGTGAGGTGAGGTTGAGTGGTGGCCCTATTATTTCTTTGATAACATAAAAAAAAATAAACAAATAAATTAATCATTTTATGTCTTTTAGGACCACAATGTGACAAAACAAACATTAAGGCCAAATTATGTCTAAATTCTTAACTCGAGACTTGACTAAGAAAAGTACATAAACTTTCTGTAATTTACTTTAATCCATATTCTAATAAATGAATTGTTTTAATCTTCTTTTGTCAAGTATCACTTTAATACAACTTCTTATTAATATTATGTCATGTGTCAAGTAGATATATTAGACAACTCATTTCAAAATTCAAATTTATATTTTCTAATTATATGTTAAATTTGAAGTTATAATAACTTTAAAATTTTGATATATCTCTTAATTAATAATTTATTTAAAATAATTGATTAATAATTATAAATTTTTATTATAAAAGTTTAATTAATTTTATAACCACTGGTTGCCACAGGTTATAAACTAGTTTATTATAAGACAAACTTGTAAAAATGATCATGGTGGTTTGCTGTTTTTAGGTGTCGTCCAAACAGTTTAAAAATTACGGATACAGTGTTTTTAGCCTAGTTTGATTGTAGGTTTTGTCTACGTCAAAATTAAAATGACTATTTTACCTTAATGTATATTTTTTAGTTGTTAATTTCTTAATGTTTTATTATTAACACAAAAGAGAAAGGGACTTGCAACCCCTCTCTCCCACCCCACCTTACTCCACAACTCACATTCTCCCCCTCTTTATCTTCTCTGCCGACCATCATTTGTCCGTGACCACTTGAAATTGAAATAAAGAATTGGTTGAACATCGAGATAAACAAATTCATCAGATCCAAATAAATTAAACACAAATGTTATGCAATTTCTTGAACAAATTCAAATAAGAAGACTCTAAGAGCATGATATGATGCAACAACAAGAGGAGGGGAGGTTCCCTCAACAAGTCAACGATTTGAGAATTTTCACATTGGAATAGGCTTAAATTTGATGTTTTTCTTATTAATACAACCGGGCACATGCTCTCAACCAAATTTTGTCAAATCGTATATGATTAAACCTTAGAAATGTACCCCTTCTCTCTTCGGCAACTCGAAAAAGCAATAAAATCCTAAAAAAAAAAACAACAACAACAGGGATGAAACTCAAAATTTAAGCCCATAATTTGGCATACATCTCGAATTTAAACTTGGAAAGAAACATGTTAGCATATGAAATATTCTTCCATTGCTATGTGTTTGAATATTTTATCCTTCTAATGGGCACTCATTTTTTGTTGGTGGTCTTAGGAATAAGACAATGGTTAACGTATATTGCTATATGTATAATAATGAACATTTTCTAAATTAAGGTTCAACATAGAGTAATTGTTATTCTTTGCATTTAACACAAACAAATTGTTCTTAAGTAAACCTAACTTTTACATTTCTTTCTGAAGTTTTGTGTATGAAATACTACTAAAAACGTATTATTGTAGATAATATCCTATGAAAAAAATATTACGATAGCATATACTCTAGTCAAATATATCAAATTTACAACCATCATCGAGGTGGTTAAGTGGTAAACATTCTAAAATGGAGAGGTTCCACGTTTAAGTCTCACAAGTTTCGATAGGGTGACCTGGTCGTTGAAAATAAAGATATATCTGATTAACGACTAGTTCTCAATATTAAAAAAAACATTGTTAAATAAGGCCTAACGATTATTATTTTTTCCTAGATTTTTATGGAAGGTGCACCAATAAGTTTATACAAAAACCGCATGATGAATGATATAGGGTTTCCTCATAAGGCAATGCAAGTGGTTATAAGCTTATGAGATGGATCTAATTGGGCCACCGATGGTGGTAAATTCAAGGTCAATTGGTCACATGCATCGTTTCACATCCATTTTCGAGATTTTAGAATTGATGGATGTTTCAAAACCGAATGGTCCTAATAAGGATTGTTATTCCTCAAGGTATCCTTGAAATAACCAAAAGTATTGGCAATTAAAGAGTTTATCAATTAAGAGCTAATGACAATGCGAAAAAAATCATACGAAATAGTGTATCAAATAAGAGCTAATGACAATGCGAAAAAAATCATATGAATTATGACGAGGTACCCAATGCCTCCTCCGGAATACCATGAGTGATAATGTAGTAATTTCATCAATCAGATGTTGTCTGCAGACTACATACATTTTACCTTTTAAAAATCAAACAACACCTTAGTGAGGAAAGAAACTTGTTTAACAATCATTAATGTCTTTTTTTTAAAACTCGACATATATCTACAAATTTTTACTAAATATTGGTTGTGAATCATTACAAAACTGAAATAAACATAATTCTGGTTCTATTTATCTTTTTTGGCAAAACGATGTATGCTCATCGACTACTATTTAATTTTGATATTAATCACTATATCTTTTGCATTACAATCGCATGTAAAAAAAACTAAGTGTATAATAAGTGCTAAGGCTATCCGGAGTGGAGGATAAACTCACGTGTGAAAGCTGACTTGGAAGCCCAAGGGACGCGTGACCGCCCCAACGTCTGATGACTTGGCTGTGGAGTCTCTACGCAGACGCGACTTGCTATTTGGATGACTTCTTTTTTTAACCTTTTTGGAGCCGTTGGAAGCAATAAAAGAAACTTTCACATTCAAACTTTGAAGATGTGAAATTTGCAGGTCTTCAAACGAGGAAGGTGAAAACTAGAGGCTCATTTTTCAACAATTGTCAACTATGGTCCCTTGAGTTTGGGTTAAAAGCAGAACCAACCTCAGTCCTTAATTTCCTTTTAAAATTTGCAAATTCAACCCTAGTCCTATTATTATTATTATTATTATTATTATTATTATTATTATTATTTTCTATGTTTTTTTAGTAATTTAGGTTTAAATTTCCATGTTTTTTTTAACAATTTAGGTTTTAAATTTAAGTTATGTAATGGGGTTTTAAGAATGTAAAATATTTATTTTTTAAATTATGTTTTTTTATTTAATCCAATGTCAAATAAATAAATAAATAAAAAGATAAATATTATGAAGTGGTAACCGTTTTTAAAGGTTAATGGTTTGGTAGTGAGTTTGTAGTGGAATTGACGAGAGACTCACATCATTTTTCTAGTGGGTTGTACCTTAGCCTAATAAATGAGGTCTTTTATATTGAGGCCATCGTGTATGGTAACGGGTGAACATCCCTCCACATCATCATGAAGACTTGTTCACAATGCATTCAATATAGGTTGGGGATGGTGTTCACTAGTGAACAACTAGCGAACAAGAGAGAAACAAAAGTGAGAGATATATGTAAATGGTTTTGATTGGATGTGAGAACCTATGAGTAGCTTTAACCCACACCACCATTAGACCTTCTGGTATGGTTGCCACGAACGAGGTCATGGTCTAGGTGGCCACGAACCACGACCGTGCACACCATCCAGGTGGGTCGTGGTCGTGGCCCTTCGTGCTCCGGACAACGATTTGAAACGATGAATGTGGTTGGTTGTTGAGTAACGGCTATATTTTAGTATTTAAAATGTACTTTTTTTTTTAATTTTACCTTTCAAACATTATTAAATATCTTCTATAAATACCACACTTATTCTCTCATTTTACTCACACAATTCTTTTCTCTTCTTCTCACAATCACATACTTGGTTTGCTTGATAATTCAAAATCAATGACTCCTAAAATGATGAATTGGTTAGAAAATGAAGAAGTGAACCTAACACTAGCATGGGTAGTGGCTTCAGAAGACTCAGATGCTATAATGCCTCCTAATTTTTGGGTAAAACTTTGAAACGTTTTCCATGATTTAATGGGTTGCCGAAGTCGTAGTCTTGATGAAATATGTTCGAAGTTTCGTGATATGAGGGTTAAATGCCTTGAATTCAGTAAGATTTATAACTTTGTTATAAACAACGTAGACGAAGACATCACGTTTGCTGTGACCATGTACCAATATGAAGACACGAAACACACACCGTTTAAACACGTCAAAGCTTGACGAAAATGAAGAGAGTGCCCAATATTTAGTCATTAAAAATAAGGTTTAAAAACTAGTTTAAGTTGTTTGTGGTTGCATTTTTATGTTTATTTTATTTATTTTATGTTGTCTGTTCTAAATTAATGTAATATTTGTTTCATTGAATAAAAAACTAATTTAAAGGAAATATGTTTTATTGTGTCTTTGAATTAAATTTAATTAAAAAATGAAGTGGAATTATATGTTTAGTGGTAGGTATCCATTGATTATAAGTAGAGATTGTGGTGATGACATGACATCCAATCCAAGGATTAATGGTAAGGAAAATGGATTAGCTTACACCCTATTGCGAGTGGTGTTCACTGGTGAACACATCATTCCTACGCGTGAAATGAAGTCGATAACTCATGGCGTTTGGATATGCATTTTCAAAGCAATTACTGTAACATTCGAGAATCATCAATTTCTGCAAACCTGAAAACATACAGTCATACGATAAAGAGAGAGGGAAAGTTACACATTTATAGCATGAGTTAAAGCATGCATTTGGAAATCAGTGAAGAAGATCAACCTTAAAATGGAAATACAATCCTGCAATCCAGATTTGAAAGAGACAATCACACATAGCACATGTGATCGGGGTTACGTGTCTTTACTGAGCTTTTATTTATTACTCATTTACTCTCCTCTCTCACCGTCACCATCTCAAAAGCTCTCAGCCCCTCAATCTCCATCTCCGGCAGCTTCCACACCATTTTCCCTCCCTCTCTCTGCAACAATGACGCGTATGGGTAACGAATCATATCTATTCATTTCTATTTCAGTGTGTATCTAGGCCCTCTGTTTCTGTCTTCCTTTTCATTTATGTCGTTTGGGTTTTTTTCCGATGAAAATTTGGACTTCTTTTAGCTTTGCTAACACAAATCTTCCCTTTCATTTACCTTGATTTTCTTTTGTTCTCGTCTCGTGGTTTTCGTTCACATGCTATGATTTATTTTTATTTTTTATTTTTTATTTTATTTTATGCTTCATCTGGATATTAGATGCTTCTTCGTATGTATGTTATTTTCAAATTTATGATCTGTGATGGTTTATTGTCGTGGAAATTAACTGGAATGCAGCTCCTTTGGGCTTGGTCTGTGTGTTATCTTTTTCTAAGTTTGTATAATTTTATTTTATTTTTGGGAAAACTCATATTGTTTTGAACTTTTAATTTAGTTTATGAGGTTAAAAGTGGTGAAACATTAGAGGTAAATGTTGATGAAGGCAAACTTGTGACGCTTAAAAAGGCTAAACTTGGAACTGAGACAGACGAGACTGTTTTTGTGAAAGTCAGTGTTGATGGTGGTGTCACACAGCTTGTAGCTGCAAGGCTGAACCTTCCTAGCTGGCCCCACAAAGCATTGGATATCATCTTTGACAAAGACTTCCAATTCTCTCACACTGGGAGTAATACCAGTGTCATGGCCAGCCTTGGGGACGGGCAAAAGGTGCAACCGCACAGGCCCCTAAAAAATAAGCCCCTAATTTTTAATTAAATTATCTAGAATATATAACATATAATATCATTTTTTCTGAAAAATAACATAATTATTTGCTAGCTTAGATGGTTAATACGCGCGCCTTGAATCCTTTAACTTCTAGCTGATCCGTGTTCGAGCTTTCCTACTGCTATTTTACAATTTTTTTTCTCAAATTAATCATTTATAAGATTTGCTAGTGAAGTTACACTATTGGTCTCTGAGTAGTTGCTCATTTTCCTACAACATCCCGTTTCATATTTTATTTTCCATTATAGTTTCCTAAATTTACACAAACTCACCCCTCGAGTCTAAAAATACACCTTTGTATCATGTTAATTAATTTCATTCATAATTTTTTTTTTCCATATGACATTCAACACCCATATATTTAAATATAACACATGCTTTTTTAAATATTAATTAAATTCTTATATATATACTCGATATAAGTAACTCTTATAATATATTTGAAAAGTTCAAAAGTCTAATCCAAATTTACAGATGTCACAATTTAATACTCCATATGGTTGTCATCCTCTTAATTAAATTCATATTTACGGTCCACAATATCACAAAAAAAGACTTAATGGATTGGGAACCACAACTATTGAAAACAATAAAAGAGTATTAATTATAAAAATTTGTGAACAATTTTGCTTTAAAAAATAGTAGAAGAGCATCTATTGACTTATCGTAGGATAATATATTGTATCGTTATTTTGTTTTGATTATTTTTATAACGTTTATCGACTTATCATAGTATTAACGAATTTTACTTATATATATAATTAGGGGCCTATTTTTATTTTTTGTACAGGGCCCTCAAAATCTAACCTTTATGCAATCACTTCAACAAGCAAGTCTTTATCCATATCCATATCCTTTTCTCAAACATAATAGTAATATTTTCCGAACTTAGAATCACTAGGTTTATATTGTTTTATTATTGAAGTTTGGTGTTGTTGACCCCTTGACCAATCTGCATGTGTGCTCTGTGATCACTGTATGTAAAAGTGATGACGATTCAGATGATGATGATGAAGACAAAAAGACACTGGAGAAGGTTAGTTTTGACATTTTTTAATTGAGAAAAAGTTATGAATTGATTTTTTGTGATATTTTAGTTTTACCTTGGATTATATTTGTATATGTTAAAACATCAAATGTTTATATGATTATATAATGTGAATTTATTTATTGACAGGAAGAAGGAAAGGTGGAAGGTGCAAGTCCTGCTTGTTCTGGACGTGCACATGTTTGTGAGTTCTGCAAGAGGTATCCTTTTATTTTGTTTTTTTTTTTTATAAATAAATCTATGAGTTTAGTGTTGTAAATGTATTTTGGATGTTTGCAGGGAATTCCTTGACAAGTGAGGTTGAGTATATTGAAGAGTGATTGAGGGTAGTAGTTTGTAAAATATCATGCATGGTCTTATGTAGGTTTATGGTTAGTATGAAAAAGACATCAATCATATATTAGTCTCTTTATTTATGTCCGATGATGACAATTATGGATTGTTATGCTATGATTTTATTGTATTTTTACAAAAATATCAATCATATATTGCTCATGAAATTTAAATACATCATAACCCATTATAACAACTAGTATTCTTATGGTGAGATGATATTTATTAAGGCCCATCATTAACATTATTCTTTTTTATCGGACTCCTTTTGTTTTTCTAGGCCCATTATCACTTTCTTGGACCGATTAATCACTGGTCTGCACAACCATATTTTCTTTTTCATCTGAATAGTTCTTTACTCCATTATTTCATTCACTGTTCGCATCGTTGGGCAACATGAGTCGATAACAAGTTATACATTGTATCATGTAATTGTTATACAACCATGGACTGAATATGCTTAACCCCTTTTCCTGAAATTCCAATGCGAATCAACATCAATACCTCTTAATGTAATCTTGCAGATTGGGATGGTTCTCAAGTAGAGCTTATCATGAACACAAGAAACACAAATCTAATGAAATCATATGTTACCTTCAGAGGTGAATCCCATCGTATATGGAGTCCACTATCAGCTATCGTCTCTTAACTTACAAGCTTGTAAGTTGTAAGGGAGAAAATCGATGTTGTCAAACGTTTCCATCATTACTCATTATAATACTAAAAAAAGGAGCTTCACCAGAGCGAATGAATGGGACTATGGAGCATCGATTAGAGCTTATAATCTCAACTTTTCTATGATTTTAAGGAGCTTCAAGGAGGCAGGGGAGGGGGTTACCTATTGTTGTGGACAAGGTGTGTGGAGGGGTTTAGTTTATTACCGAAGGGGGATACTTAGGGAAAGAAAGTGGCACCAATGGAGGTTGTTCATAAACAAACAACCGAAAAATATGAAGTGGTAGGGATAATATGGAGAGAGTGTGGGGCAAGGAGTGGGTGGCGGGCGATTTTTTTAAAATAACATGAAAAAATATAAACAAATAAACCTGATAAGAGTAATTTAGTCATGTCATATCTTTTAGGGAGCAATCTCCTGACAAAACAAACATTAAGAGAAATTTATATCTAAATTCTGAACTTTGGACTTGACTAAGAAAAGTACATAACCACATGTAACACATGAATCATTTTTTGTAATTTATTTTAATTTATTACAAGAAAATTTTGCAAAATTGGTCCTTCTGGTTGGTTGTTTTTTGGGTACCTTCCAAAGAGTTTAAACATTATGATATGGTCTATTTAGCCAAGTTTTGTTGTAGTTTTCATCTTCTTCAAAATTAAAAAGACTGTTTTACCTTAATATATATTTTTAATGGTTAATTTTTATTAAATATTTTATTATTAACACAAAGAAAGGGACTTGCAACCCACATCTCCCCTACCCCCAACCTTACCAGACTTTTCCCCTTCTTTATCTTCTCCACCTACCATCATTGGTCATCGACCACTTGAAATTAAAACAAAGAATCGGCAAACATCAAGACAAACAAATGTTGGGATATGAAGTCTTGTCCAACACATGGAACACTTGGAGTTGCAAGTGAGTATCAGGAATCACAAGTGAGCACTTGGAGGTACATGAATCACTTGGAGAAACATGAAGCATTTGGAGTTGCAATGGAGCATCATAAATAAGCATGGGTCACTTGGAGTTCATGAAGCATGTGCCAAAGGAACGAATCAATTGAGAAATGAATGGATCATCAGACAAAGGAACGAATCAAGTGACAAAGTAACGAATATTCTAAAAAGGGGTATGGAGCACCTAGGAAGGGAACGGAGCATCTTGTAATGTTTCATGATGAAGATGCACCACATGTGTTCATTTGTTGAGCCATGATATCCTTTGATGAGCCACTCATGGAAGATGCGCATGGATGATGCTAGTGGAAGATTCTCATCGACAATGCTCATGGAAGATGCTTATTGATGATGCTCATGGAAGATGCTCATCGATGATGCTCATGGAAGATGCTGATGGACGATGCTCATGGAAGATGCTCATCGATAATGTTCATGGACGATGTTCATGAGGTTGAAGATTCCAGAAGCGCCCGCATGGCGTTTTGTGATTGGTTGAAAATTAAGGCATCCCCTTTGATGGGCTAATTATGAATGTTTTTGGCCCATCAGAATTAGGGTTTCCCATAGAGGTGCACAAAAATCGATCCTGAACCGGTCCTGGATCAGTCCTAAGTCGATCCTTTTTTTTGGATCGGTCTTTTTTTGGAGCGGTCTTTTTTAGACCGGTCCCGATCGGTCCTCTGTCGGTCCTTTTTCGGTCCCGTCCTTTTTTGGATCGGTCTTTTTTCGGATCGGTTTTGCTATAAACTAGTCTGATACCGGTCTTTTTTTCGGTTCGGTTTTGGATTTTTTTTGGTGATGTACGATTTTCCTTGCTAATTTCATCAAATGGTTGGTTCGGATCAAAACCGGAGCGACCAACGGGACGGGAACTACTTTCTTCGGCACCCGACATTATCCGGATGTGGAAACTTCAAGCTTTGTATTGTAAATTTAGAGACATTTTGAGTAAGGGATAGAATTTGAGGTCAGAAAATAGTTGGATATGAATAAGTATTTATAGCGTAAAAAAATATCAGCAAAAAACATTTATAGCCGTTGGTATAATTCTAAGCGTTGTAAACTTGTAATGTATTAGTTCTTATAAAAGCAAATCAGCCAAAAGTATGTAATCGCATTTATACTTTGTACCCGTTGAGTATTTTACTATTACTTAGTTATTATATTATTAGTTATATTAGAGTAAAAAAAAGCAAAGGAATGGACGAATGGAGTTTGTGTTGTTTGTCCCACATCGCTTCTCTTACAAAAAATAAGTAAGGTGAGAACATTATAAAAAGGGAAGTAAGGGAATTCTGTTTGCATGAAAAAATTGAAACAAAACCATAATTTTGGAGGCTTGATATTTAATTGGGCTACAAAGAATATTTGGTTTTTCATTTTCTGGACCGGTTGGACCAGTTTGGATTGGCAGCTGTCCAAAAAATGGATTGGTTTATTTTTGGACCGGTTCAACTTTGGACTGGTTTAGGACCGGTCTGGACTGCCACATATATCAATTTTAAGGACCGACTAAGGCTTGCAGTCCGGACTATTAAAAAGACCGACCGGTCCAGGACCGGTTCACGTTTAGGACGTTCAGTCCATATGCATCTTTTTTGGACTGGTTCTTTTGCCCACCTCTATTTCTCATGCTTGCCTATAAATAAGCTCATAAATAAGCTCATATCCGGACTGGTTCTTTTGCCCACCTCTATTTCTCATGCTTGCCTATAAATAAGCTCATATCCCCATTCATTAATTTTTGCACGAGTGTACGCGAGTGCTTGTACATAATAATTTCAAGAGAACAATCATTGTGGGGTTGATTGCACATCATTTGAAACACTTAGTAAGCAAGAGAGTTTCTTTTGTTTTGAGAGCTCAAGTGAGGTGTAACCTTTTTGTGATTGTAATTGTTCTAGGAAGTTTAATAATATTCTCTCTTTCTCGTTCACCCTTGGACGTAGGTCACCTTGACCGAACCACGTTAAATATTGTGTTCACTTGATTTGCGTTTTTTTAATTTCTTGAAAAAATTAAAATAAGAAGACTTCAAGATCAAGGGCTGATGCAAGCGACAAGGTGCCCTCAACGGTTTGAAAAATTTCACATTGGAGTAGGCTTAAAACCTAATCAATTTTATTTTCTTAATAAAACAGGCTCTTGTACATTTGCTATTGTATTTTTTAGTAGTCGTTGTGTTTTGGCAAAAGAATCATACTGTAAAATACTAATTTAAGATATAAAATATATAAACAGATGTTTAAGTGAGATATTACGTTGATATGATGAAACATAATTTTTCACATAGTTTCTATAATACTGTTGATTACACTACAACCTCAACATGTTCCTTTTAACCATTTCAAGTATAGAACATTTACAGCCCTGTGTTTAAGGGTTTTTTTTTATAAAAAAAACAATCATAGCATTGTACTTCTATTGTTTTCTTTACTATGAAATGTACTGTTTAAAAATATACTAATATATAACATCCTACTTTAAAGTTTTAACTATTTTCTTATTGGGAGATTATACCTTGTATATTCCTTCAAGCTTGTTGTTGAACTGACAACCGCATTCGTTTTTCAGTTTTTAGAGTACATTAATAATAAGAAAATATGTTCATCAAGATAGCAAGTGAAAAAGGGTGTTTTTTATTTGTCGTTGAATAAAAATTATATTTTTATTTATTAAAAAAGGATGAGCCAACCAGTGGCGAGGCTATAGTGTACCAAGGTGGGTCACTTGACCCACCTATTTTTTTTTTTTTTTACAATAAGTTATATATAAAATATATTTAGCACCTACCTTAAATATTTTGTCTGACCTACCTAAATGTGTTTGGTAAAAAAAAAGGAGGAAAAAAATATAAACTATACACAATATAAGAAATATCATATTCAGTGGCATGAAAAAGTCTCACATCGACTCCAAAAACAAAGTGGTGAACTTGTTTCTTTTATAAATGGATGTTTTCTCTTTCACATTTCCACACCCGAAACTTGTTTAGGCATGTTTTTGACTGATTTACTCCAAGTATAAGTTTGTTTTAGTTAATTTCTTTTTAAAAGAAAGACCGGTTTGGGCTTGGTCCTTTCAACACCAATTTTTATATATGTTAAACTAGCTGTTTTCTGGTTGAATCGACCCGAGATAACCTAATTTTCTCTTGAATTGACATGATTGAACCCGGTTAGGGAACCACGTGGTTTTTTATTCTAGACTCGCCACTGGAGCCAACCATCCAATTCCAACCCCTTGGCCCCTCCCTTTCTTTGCATGCGTCAACCAACACCTTCTCTAGCAAGCTTGTCTTTTTTGAAGCTCATCTTCTTT